AAAATTGATGCCCTCCTTCACATTATTCAAATCTGTCCAGTGGGCCGGATTAGAGTCTTGGCGGGGCCGATTCTGGACCCCGAACCTTATGTTTGACACCCCTGCTCTAGATGGCTTTAAGGCTGAAGCAGGCAGGCCTTACCCAGTTCAACACATTCTCTGGATTCAGAAGGACTTCATTCAGTGAAACGCGCTGAGCTGCTGCTCACAGCTGTATGGCCTCCAGAGAGTTGGCGGTAGATGGGGAGAAATGGTGAGATGTACCGTAGAACACTCGTCTCCACCTTCATTACTGAAGGTAAACAGCAGAGGATCGAGAAAAAGACCTCACAGACCGCTACAGTGCTGAATTATAGATGAGATCGGAGGAATAGAGGCACTCTGCAGGCTTTTCCCATCCTCTCACCTCAATCCGTGCTCAGTCACGCATGCATGCACGTTCACATCTGCTGCACCTGAAGCGGTAATTCTTATCACTCACCTATCAGGTCCCCTCAGAGGCAGCACGCATTCACACCGCAGCTCGCTTCCCAATATTCATGTCCACCTAAACCCCAGCTCCATCATAACATGCAGTCGGCACATGCACACAACCTTTCTGAGGCTCTCACTGGGCTTGCATTATTGAAATCCATTTAGCACTCTGGCTTTCTCCTGAAGTCTCGCTCACCAAAGCAGTGACCCGTGAGCCGAGAGGAGACGAGTGGGATTTCCTGATTCTGCTGCCAAAGAGACGAGCGAAGAGGGGCTGCATTTAGCTACCTGCCAGCGTGTGCCTATGTAGGAAGTTTGAACGAGGAACGAAGTATAATTTATGGCAATATGGGTGAAGCAGTTTCCAAATATTAACCATTTTTAACCACAAGTGTACAAAAGTGGCAAAATCACCCATACGGAAAAGAAATAGTAAAAACTTACATGATTTACTCATGAAAGTGGCCACTTTCGCATTACTTTCATATATTGTTTTAGGAAGTATCCAAAACATACAAGTTTCATTATATAATTTTTCAAGGGATCTTATATCTGTTTTCACACTTATATGCTTTTCATACAAGTTTCACACAAGACAGATACAAACTTTATAAGATTTATACATATCTTTGTATGCTGAAGTATGCTGAAAGTCATTTGTGGTGATCGAAACCTGTGTTAAGCTAACCAATGGGAGCTATTAAAAATAGTTTTTGGTTTCCATGACGCACATGGATGTTTTCAATACCACAGTCAACCTCAAAACTGATATGGACTCACATAGTGTGATGGTGACGAACTTCAGGTTTTACGACCTTGTGATAATCTCATGATTCAGTTTTATGATCCCACCTACCCTGAAATGACGCTCCGGATGGTTGTTAAGCCAGATGGTTTGTTACGCAGAACTATGATTCTTGGAAAATGGCAGGCAATTCCACAAAATGATGATCCATAAGTAACATCTTTGTCCATCGACCGTTAGCTCGGAGCAATTGAATCAAGCAAGAGATCGGGGTAGAGCGCTCTGCGTTTTGGTCCAGGATTCGTGTTTTATTTGTAAATGTAAGAGGAACTGGCAGAAAGCCACTTTGTCGGAGAGGTGACTCTACTGGCCAGCAGTCCCTCACTGGTCTAGACAACACTTTTTAAGCACAATCTGGAGCTGCAGGTGAGCTGTGTTCCAGAAGGGCTTCAGAGCTCATTTTTTTTGGAGTCGCTGTGCAGAAAGTACAAAAACTGGCGTTTACAGCACGAGTACAACGCGTACTGTTATGCTTCATGTGTAGACTGAAATGGATCGAGTTAAGACAAGGGCGTATCTGCACCATCAGATTACCTGCAGCGTGCATTTGAAACAACTTGTGCAAAGAGAAGTACTTTTCTCAGATTCTGCTCTTGCACATGAAAACTGTGCCTTTCATCTAAAATTAGAGACTCAAAGCAACGAAATGACTGAGCAACAGCTTCAGTCATTCCCCGTGCATCAAGTGAGTAAAGAAATGCAAAAGTATTGACTTAAACCTTGGACTTGCTCAGAATCCCTCTAGTGCAGGACACTTGTTTGCTAATGGAGGAGCTACCTGTACGATAGGCGCCTCAGCAGGCATTAAAAGCAGGATCAAGAGAAGCTGTGATCAGCGGTGCGCGGCGACAGATTTACTGCGATACTCTGGGAGTAAGAGTGAGGCCAATAAAACTTTATGGGTGCTGTTTCATTTTAAAACTCTTCCATTTAGGAAGAAGTCGCTGCCTGATGCTTGAAAATCCACATCATTACAAGTATTTTTACTATTCTGTTTCAGTTTTTCTGCCATTACTCCCACTGATAATGTGGTCACAAGACTTAAAACAGGAATGTCTTGATAGCTCGAGCATTCCTTATGTGAATCTGCTTGGTGTCATTTTCAGCATCTTGATAATCCCCCGTCCACCCACATGATACTGATGCACTATTTTGATACTGACAGCTCTTCAGCCAATAACTTTGTATTGCAAATATTGCCCAAGGACACAATTAAGAAGTTTGGCAATTCCAGTTCGGCGCAATTAGGTGTTTGTTTTTTGTGAGAAGCACGTCTGCGGCTGACAGTTGAGACCCTTAACTAAAGACCCTCTGATTGGGCTGTGCTTCTGATTGTTTGGTTGGGAGCTGGTCTCACTAACTGCTGCACCCAAGGTGCTTTGTTTTGTTTTGATGTCTCCCCAGAGAGCTTGTTAGGTGAGGCCAGCAGACTGCTCAGAGACTTAGTGTGGTGCTGAATAAGCTGAGAAATTCTTTGTTGTCCAGATGAGACAATGCGAGAGACTTTCCCATGTGGAAAAATATTTGTGTGCCTGTGCGTCTGTGTGTGTGATCAGAGATAAGAAAAGTGGATTTCGAGGCTGCACACACACACCGCAGAAAGCCTGTGAGCCTTTCGGAGAATCTGGATCTCATTTATCATTCGACCTATGAAATATTTTGCTGATGTGGTAACATTTTCATAGCCACTTGTCCATGTTTGTTCAGGGTTCACACAAGTCCAGCTCTTGATCTGTTTGAGTACGGAAACAATCATGTGTGTAAAACGGTCTTTAGTGTGTGATTCATGCAATTTTGTCATTGTTTTTAAGTGGCGATGGGAAGTGTAATGAGCAAGTCTAATGCAAGAATGAGGCGTCTAAACACTGTTTGGACGGGCGAGAATGTTAACAGTTGTTTGAATGGCTTAATTGATGTGCAGAACTGTGACAGAAGTCTTGAGCCAGCTCACATTTTTTTATAATTTGCTTCTAAGGAGTCAGACTTTGGGTTTTTGAAGGTCTTTCAAAGTGATTCCTAAAGAGCTATTAGCTTAAAAACTTGGCACAGTGTGCAGCATGTCCTTAAAAAAATAGAGGAAACTGGACGATGCACGAAGACTTCTAAAGCACAGTGGAGGCTCTGTCATGGTTTTTGGCTGCATTTCAGTCAGTGGTGTTGGGCATCTTTTCAAATTGATGGAATACAGATGCACCGTGCAATTCCATCGAGAAAGCATCTGTTTGGAAACGGCTTTTCAGTATGACGCTGCCAGTAGTGAAACACTCGGTGTCCCATTGTGTGTTTTTCTATCAATCATAGATTGGCCTCCCATGAGCTCAGCAGTTTAATTTCATGTTGACAAGAACAGAAGAAAGCTTTGAATGTCCTTCGAACAGCCTGCAGAACTATCCTGTTCTTGAAGAACACTTAAGGAAATGAAAAGAAAGCTGCCTAAGAGTTCAGACTGTTGAAGAATGAAGATGGTCATAACAAATATTTTCTCAGAGTATAAAGAAATGAGAGGTAGCTCTAGACTTGTGCACAATACTGCATTTTGAGAGGTATTTCAAATATTTACAAAGCCAGAATGCTCAGACAAAAGCGTCTACGGTAATGTTCAAACACAAACGGCACAAAGCGCCTCACTGATCCTCGCTTCGCGTACTACACAAAGGGTGCGTTTGTCATCGGGCAAAATAATTTTGTGTACTTGAATTCTCATAAATCAGACTGAGTAACACTGTTGATCTTTAGTTACACTATTGCACTGATGAAGTCTGTCCTCAGACATCCAGACGGGACTGTGTAAACACAGAGTTCTCCACAGAGCACTTCTGTGGGTCAGTGGGTGTCACAGGACTTGTTTTGTTTCTTTTACTTTTTTGCCATAGTGACACGCATACTACGTATAATTAAGATTAGTTTACAGGGGGAATTCCTCCTCCTCCTCCCAGCACACAGACCTCATATCTGCAACTGTTTATCTCTTGGCTTTCAAGCAGCACAAACCAAATGTTTGTGCTGCTTTCGTCAGCCGGCAGTTTGGGTTTTTCTAAACCTTTTAGGTTTTACTCTTAAAAACATCCCACAGAGCTCCATTAAAGAGAGAAAATTAGAGATTCCAAAAGTTAAATTTTACAAAGTGTGAAATTTACACAGGCGGTGTTACAGGGAGGAGCTACGTTCTCTCCACCTTCACTGTTATCAGATTGTCGTCTGATAAATGTTTTGGCTGAAGTTTCCCTTTTCCTTCACTTCAGCACGTTCTGGTTGCAGTGAATTCTCCCCAGTTTTCCCAGTGAGCAGTGTTTTCCCACTCACGCCTTAAAGACATTCAGACAAGTTTAGCTGAAGCATGTGACTTTTTCTCTTCTTGGCTTTGTTTTTATGCTTTTTTTTTCTTTGTCTTAACTTCAGCATTTTTTCTGTTGCTGGAAGCGTCTTACATTGACAGATATAACCTCTTTAACTAGTCACGAGTGTTATGGTGACCCGCAATAAGATATTTTAATAATATAAGAAATTTACATATATATTAATGAATTGCTTTTATAATATTTAAACCCTCTTATCTTGAGGCACCACTGACTATTTAAAAAATATATATTTTTCTGGTTTGTGGTAAACACAAACCAGAAAGATTATTTTTCAGGTCATTAAAAGTAGAATTACATGTGTTACAGGTGGACAGACTCTGTGCCCTGTAAGCTTCAACCTTTTGCATTGCACTATCTGACAGGCGGCACCTCCGGGGCAAGGAAGGTTGCAACAGCAGACTGACAGCGAGCGCTGGCATGAGCACACTGGAATAAGTTCTGCACTGATGTCTTGGCTTAGAGGTACCAGGGCATCCACGAATCTGCACAAAATCCCGGCACGATGCGGGCGGTTGCTGTGTTTGTAAGTGCTTTTGTATATGGATTGGTGGTGGGCTGTGCAAACTGGTGATGGGCTAAATCAGTACAAACGTTCTTTCTGTGATTTCTCTGTGAAATGAAATGTAAAATAAAATATCCCTAAAAGCAGAGATGTGAGCTCTTAAATGAAGGTAGCTGTTAGTCTCTTAGTGAATTAACCTCTCTTCATAGCTCGGATCCAGTGATGTTGCTAGAATCGTACAGTATGGTTGTGCTCGCTCTGTTTGTTAAAATGAAACCTCGTCAGATTAGTGGAAAGGAGTGCCTGTTGATGTCAGCTCTGTGTTATACGTCTTGTCCTGTTGCAGCACCTTCTTCTCAGACAATGAAAGCCACAGCAGCAGGATGTGAAATCCTCACACTCACTCCTCATCCACACACACTGAAAATACTGCCTAAAGCTCTGGCTTCAGTGCTCCAAACACTTCAGACAGCTTTTGTTTTTCTCTAATGTTTGGGCTTGGTCTGCACACCCCACCCACCGACCTGCCCTTTATATCTTTTGTCTGCGAAGAGCAGCCGGGCTTGCAAAGCGGCCTAAAAGGAAGGTAAAATGGCTCGTGTCAGACGGTAGATAAAAGTAAGAGGAGTAACAGCACGACATTTATATAGTCGTCATTTCAATTTCTTTTATTTGCAGGTTGAAGCTATGCAAAGGTTGTCATTGTAGGCAAAACTGAAGTCTAGACTCGTGCTGGGACACAAGGTCAACAAGTGCTGGTGCAGAAAAGATTCAAGAGATGCCTTCTTGCCCCTAAAGTCTTTAGTCATTATTCGGATGCTAATTGAATCAGTTCCAAGAGGCCAGAGTGTCTAGGCAAAAAAACACAAAACAAAAAAACCCGAGACACACCTTATCCACACACACTGTTAACTTTAATGTTCGCTTCCTGCCTGCAGTCCTCTTGAGTCTTGACTCTGCTGATGCCACCCAGGACGATTAGTGTGCGTTAAGCCGACTCTTTATCTGGTCATCTGCGAATCTTCAAGTGGAATCTGTGCTCATGTGAAACCAAAGTGCTCAAAAAAGGAGGAAAGAAATCATGTTTACTTCCCTCTCTGTAACTGCTTCTTTCAATTTCTCTGCGTGTGTGTGTGTGTGTGTGTGTGTGTGTGTGTGTGTTTGGTGGGGGGGCTTTCAGTCCTCACTTCCTCCTTTCTTGCATTTCGTTTCATGTCAAGTTGTGTGGGAAACGGAGACGAGCTGAACGGGGAGAGGGAGTGAATGTGAAGGGGAATTAGAGATGATAAATAAAGTCGGGAATTGAAAGGGTTTGGAGGGAGGATGTGGAGCGGCGGCGCTTCAGTAATAAACCAAGCAGCACCAGCTTTGACCTCATCATATGCCTGCTTTACCTTTGACCTCTTCCCCCTTTCTCCACCCGTAGGCCCAATTCACTGAGATCTTTTGTGCTGTCATCTAAAATGGGAAAAGACAGTAGTTGCGTATTTCTCCGAGTTTCTGCAGTATCGGGGCTCGTTAACGGCGCGATGTGCCGGAGGATGCTTTCTCACAGCATTCCCCCAAAACGGCACCGACGTCTTATTTGAGGATCGCTTTTATCTTCTTGTTGTTGGGCTGGAAGTTACTTGTTACAGTCTCATGTGACCTTTTAGTTAGCAGCGTATTTCATTAACCTGGTGTCGCTGCGATTAAGTTTGAGGAGAATTGTGTTCATTAGCATGCAAATTGAAAAGGTGCGGCGCTTGTTATCTGTTATTTACTATTAAATTATGAATTTTTTTTAACTTTTGCGGCTCTGCATTCAGTTACTTGAATTAAATAATCCTTTTTTGTGTTCTGTCATGTACACTTAAACTGATATGTGGCAGGTGGAAAGGCTGTTTGCCTGTAAATGTGCTCTGTTTGTACCTGGTATTAACCCACGATCCGTAGATGCTTATCTGCACTCTAATATCCAATTCGTCAGTGTAAACGCTAACATGCCAAACTGCCCCCTCTGATGGGACATTTCAAGATTTTGACCTTCTCAGTATTTTTGTGGATGGGGCTGAATGGAAGGCTCTGTAGTGTCATGTTTTTCCCTTCATATGAGCCTCTGTGCAAGCTGGAGATCAGATTGTGTCGTGTGACCGTGGCAGGGAGATAACTTGTTGCTATAATTTTGTGCTTCTTGTTGTGAAACAGTGGTGCAGACTGCAATTGAGCTCTATTGTTGTTTGAGCCCTTTGCAAACCTCACAATGACAAGCTCTTTGTTTGTGTCGCTTGCTTTATTTCATATTTAATGATTATTCCAGTCATCTATAATCTCACCCACTTAAGATCGAAGTGGGCTGTGTGCGGCCTGCGGTGTCACACCCAGAGGTTTAAGAAACCTTCTAGGATTGCAGAAGCTCTGTTTGTGCCGTAGACGGCGACGGCGACAACATTAACCTGCTCTGCAACAGGTTAGAGCTGCAGCATGGGTTACCATGGCAATGCACCCTGGTAACAAACTCGAGTTAATGCAGAAGTTACCTGGATATTTTTTTTTATTTAATGCTAAGCTGCTTGCAAACACCTTAGCAGCTTTTTGAAACACAAAGTTTCCAACTTTAACCTGACTGTTGGAAAAAAGTTGTTCATTGTCCTCCTCATTTGAGTAAAACAAATCTGCATCCCACGACATCACATCCTCTCGTCCGCCCAGCTGGACCTCACTTCTTTTTTTTTTTTTTTTATAAATAGGACAGGGGGAATGAATGAGAGAAAGAGGGGGAGAGAAAGAAAGAAAACCAAAGGGGAAAAGAGACGGTGAGAGGGGGGGGAAGAGAGAGAGAAAAAAAAAAAAAGAACTCCTGGGTCACCTGTATGGAGAAAAAAAAAAACAAACAAACAAAAAAACAAACAGAGGAGACAGCAAACAACAAAGAGCAACATAATAATAGAGAAAACAAAGCACCATCACAATAAACTAGCTAGTCATAGATATCAATATTTACTAAATAATAAACGATATTGTGCAGCACGCAAGATAGACAGCGCACAGTGTGCTTTGAGGCAGCAGCCAAGAAAGCTTTAGTCCGCGTCTGTGAATACCCATGTGTGCATACCTGTGTGGATCAGCATGCTTGCATTCCAAAGGTTTCTCCATGTAATGATCTGCTAGGGAGTGTGGGGGGGCCACAGCCCCGTCCTCCAGGGTGTGAAGCAGGTATGGAGGAGATCAAAACTCCAGACATCCAGAGGCCCTCACTTCTTCCTGCTCCTCTTCACATTCGTTTCACATCCAGTGGAAGAGCTGTGCTGAGCAAGCTTCAAGTTCATTTCATGCACTGCTGGGAAATGTCTTTCTTTTCCTTCCTCAGTACTTTATCCCTTATTCATCTGAGCTTAACATTTTCTGGCCAACACTATTTTTTTAAAGACTGGCTTAAATGTAAGAATAAATTTTGCTGTGTAAGCACGGGCCGTCACCGTTACTCGACTGAGAAATCCTGCTTCAGAGCTGCTTTTTTGGCTCAAACATGGAAATCTGGGTGAAATGCTTAATATCAAGTGGACGTGGACATAAAGGAGTGTGTTTGAACTTGAAAGCAACTTTTCTGTTATGCTTTGTAGCTTTGGACGTCATAATCATCCATTAGTAGGGACACTTTCTTATTTTTGTTCTCATCTCATCCATATTAGGAAAATCGTCCATTAGCAGCTACGTCAGGATTATTAATGATACACACTGGATGCCTGGTTGTTTGTGTGTGTTAATTAAAAAAGAAGAAAAAAGCTACAGGATTGAAATTAATTCACGTTAACTCTGCACGATTATCAGCATGAATTATCCACAGTTCACTGGACTGAGTGAGGCCAAAGCGCTGCCGTGAAGAAGCCTGTTGGGGTTTGTTTTTTTAAATTTGAGCTCCACTTTGGTCTTTGTTGACATTTATGGCTCTTTAGCTGCTAAATAAGCAGTTTTTATTTCCGCTATTTTCTGTTCTGTTTGAAAAGTGTTTTTTTTTTTTTTCTCTCCCATATTTTACTCTTTGGAAACACATCTCGTCAAATCATGCACAATCCTTTTAAGCGAACCTCAATGTACAAAGACCACGGATCCCCAAGATTGTTTTTGTTTTTTTTCTATATCTTTATACTACAAGCATTCAGCTAAGGGAAGAAAGGGCTCTAAGATGACTCCACAAAGTGAACATTGGCAAGTGTGTGTAATATTAGAGGGAGAAAAGGCAGGTTTGTGGCTCTGTTTTTATCTTGAAAGCTTGTTGCTTCTCATGACTTGTGCCTCACCGGTGGAGGTAAATGGTGCACTGATGTCTCTTCCTTTTCCATTTGTTCCAGGATGAAAATGCGGCGGCACAGGGTGTTCTTGCTGTGCACGGTGGGCCTGTGTGTCATCTCCTTCCTCCACTACTACAAGGCCCTCCATTACGTCTCCCTGCTGCGGGAGCTCTCGGCTCCATACCCCAACATCAAGTCCTTCATCATGGTGACCGGCTTCTTCTGGAGGGAGAAGGGTATGGCCACCACCCCGCTCAGCCCAGCTTCTCCTGAAGAGGCCCCCCCTCTACCCGGTCTCCGGCAGTCAGATGCCAAAGCTAGAGGCGTGCCGGGTCTCGGGGGAGGAGGCGGAGGGCAAGGATTTGGCCCAGGGATCCCAGAGGCCATAGCTGGAGGTGGAGATGAGGAGATGAGGCAACGAGAGGAGCCAGCACCACCACATCCCTGGGAGAAACCAAAGGAAAACCAGCTGGGAGACGCAGCAAATGAGGTAAGATGGGTAAACCCGAACGCAACAGCGCGGTGTCGAACGCCTCACAATTTACACCTTCAGACAAATTTATGTTTATGTATTTCAAGCTTTCAGCTCAAACTCCCACACAGATCCCTTGATCTGAGCCCTGTTTCTCATCCATTCCCAGGACTGTTGTTTTGCTTTCTCTCTAAAGCCACCAAACGTGCGCTATTAAAAATGCAAATTTTACCTCACAGCGCACCTGGGTTTGTTTTTCTAGACCCGGGTGACTCTGTTTCTTTTAAGATGTTAGTTTGCATCACAACTGTTGTGTTAAAACGTCAGAGTCACATGGCAGGGCAAGCAAGCAACCAGCCAAGGCAGCAGTATTTGACTTTTCTCCAAGACTGATGTGATGCATTGTGCAACCAGATGAGATTTCCCCAGACCTCCAGTATATTAAAATGTGTTGGTGTAATCCTGTGCTTCTTTACCTGGGGATCTTAACCCTTTAAAGCTGGTCAGAGCGGGCACGCTCCGTTTTGGGTAACTATTTTTAAATCCTGGTAGCACTGCAACCACGTGAGCTAGCGCAATAATGTTTTTTGCATATGAAACCGGAGGAGTTGTACTTACATCTTATGCCATCAGCTTGTCCTACGTCACGGTTTCCTTCCACATATAGCTTTGCAAAAACTGCACAAAAGCACTTGCAGCTATATATATATATATATATATATACACACACACACACACACACACACACACACACACACACACACACACACACACACACACACACACACACAATATTCCAGAAACACGCTTATCCAATCAGCTGTTTGTAACACTTCCTACGTCCATCAGCGCGAACTATCGCATGTCTGCCATGTCCTGCCCGAAACAGGAAGTGACATCATTTAAAGGGGGGTTGCACTTAGGTACCTAAAATAATTTAATGTGAAATGAAATCTTGCAGAGCATGCTGTGAGCTAATAACATCACTTAAATCCAGACTCAGAGTGGTGATTCACTACACACACGCACGCACACAGAGCTGACTCAAATCAACAAAATCTATTTAAAGCCATACATGCAACATGTTTCTCCAGCAGCTGCTGAACAAGTTGAAGCATAAGCATCTCTAAATGTTTCTGCTCATGTTTACCTTGCTTGCCTACTGCACCAGCATGTCTCAACAGCATTACAGTATCACTTGTGCCATAAACAAATTGCAGCATGTCTGGTGCTTCACTGAATGTGTGCTCATGCAATTTAGCCTCATACAATGTAATGTGAGGTTAGTACTTTCAAAGCGGCTTATCTCAACACTGTCTTTATAGTGTTACCTCTATATACCCCCACGGAGGGTTTTAAACCAAACAATCAAGATGTAAATGAAGTGCGGACTTTTAGCTTTGATTCAGGCAGACTGCCTGAAGTCGAGAGCTCGTGGAGAGCAGCAAATGTTGCGTTTCCTTCCTTGAGATGCTCTTCCAGACCTTTACTGCTGCCACCTACAGTTGCTGCCTGTTTTTCTGACTCTCTGCTTCAGTTTTTCGTTCAATTACTGAATAACATGCTCTATTGCACTAATGTAACTGACTTGGCCACCCAAGAATATCTTATTTCTTTGCCTTGAGAAACTCTAGGGTTGCTTTTGCAGTATGCTGCGGGTCATTATCTGTTTCCACTGTGCAGTGTCATCTGATCATTGCAGCATTTGGCTGAATCTGAGCAGGAGGTATAGCCATGTACACTTCAGTTCATCTGACCGTCTCGCCCTTGAGTGTTCCCAGGGGTGTGCACCTCGTTGGAAACTCTCTGTACGTGACTCTGATTACATGTTGTGAAGGGTTTTTTCTTAACCATGTTTTTTGCTGTCACTCATGGCATTCTTCATAACGAGAGTTCAGGTGAACAGCTACCAAATGCATGCTCAACATCACCAAATCCATTTGTTTTGTAATAAGGAGGGAATATTTAGTGTTCATGCAGTGATTTACTGCAAGAAACAGTAAAAAGAATTCAATGCTAAACATTAATATTAATTTGCCCTAATTTATATTGGCTAACCGTTGTGTTTAGACTTTAAGACTTGGGTCTCTGAAGTTTAAATTGTACCTGCTGTTCCCAGGCACCTGGACACAAATGGTGCTGTCAAAAAAGAATGACTCATATTAGTCTTTGAGTTTTCCTAGATGCTATGGAGAGCATGTAATTCGGACTCACTATCACTGTGGATCTTTTTTGGTTGCCAAAATGGACAGACTGGGTGTAAATCAGGCAGGAAAACCTGAAATACACCGCACTACACAATTTGCGTAACCACCAAAATTAGAAGAAACTAATTAGTCTCCTGCTTGTACCTGACAGGACACGGGTTTGTCGTGTTTGTTAAATACAATTTCGCTTTAATGTGAATCTTACAGTGAAGAGTATAATGAGTAAAGCTGGTGTTTTTATTTCAAGGCAGAGTTGTGTAACTGTTTCCCGTTACTCTCTTTTATCCAGATTAGAGATGAGGACCGCTTAAAGCGGTGGAATCCCGCCCACCCTGCACCGCCCGATAGGCTAGACCCTCCACAGGAACCAGCAAGAAAAGAGCATCATTTCAGGGATCCCATAGAATCCATGGGAGACCTCCATACTCGCACTTTCCAGCTTCAAGATGACAAAACCCCTTACTTTGTGCGCACCAAAGCTGGAGCCCTTTGCTTCAGGCAGGGGACAGAGGTAGCTACTCCTAAAGAGTACTATGGAAAATCAGGGGGGTCTGCGGCTAACGGAGCAGTTGGTCGGGCTGTTGCTGCCGGGCAACGGAAACCTCTGGAGCTCCAGCAGCAGCCCACCATTGTGCCAAAGGTCAAAGCTCGGGCCAAGGGCAACGGGAAGCGGCTGGTCAAGTGCGTTTGTCGGCCTGGGTGGCACGGACCTTACTGCGGGGTTCCCACAATGGTGTACCACTCCAATCTGCCAACTAAGGAGCGGCTGACGCCCAGAGAAACCCCGCGGAGGGTGATCAACGCCATCAACGTCAACCACGAGTTTGATCTGCTGCACGCACGCTTTCATGAGCTCTCAGAGGCCGTGGATTTGTTCCTCGTGTGCGAATCGAACTTCACCGCCTACGGAGAGAAACGGCCTCTCAGGTATGATTCAAAGTTGTTTTTTGGACAGGTGCACGTGAAGGGATTATAAAAACCGCCCAACCCCCCGCGGTCAAGGTGTATTTGTGTGAGATGTGTAGTCCTCTGTGGCCTTCAGTTTATGACTCTGTAGTGCCCGACAGTACGCATTGTGAAATAAAGTGCAAACTTTAAACTGGATTAAGTCACAAGAACAGTGTGTATATGTTATAAAGGCCATGTTATGTCATCTTTATGTCTTTATAATGATAAATGAGCTCACATGAGGACACACTGCTAAACAATAGAAGCTCCATTTGTGCTCTTTTTTTTTTTTTCTCCCAGCTGCTTGGTTACAAACACACACACATACTTCCCCCTTTTTTTTCTCCTTTATCCAAGTTGTGACGGCGCCGTTTCAATGAGTCGTTATTGTTTGCAGCTTACCCTCTTTGTTTACAGCCAGCCCTACTCGTGCTCCTCGAGTATCCGCGTGCGGAATAACAATTACAGTTAGCTTCCTGTGGCGACGACATGAAACGCCTCGAGGGCAAATTTTACAGCAGATTATGACAAGAGCAGCATGATTGACTCTGCGTGTAGCCTTGAAGGGAGAGATCGGTGTGTTCAATCATCGGATGTGACACTGCATGAAAGCGGCTATGTTCTGCGATCACCGTCTTTCGCTATGCATATCAACAGGTTAATTGAGTTGTTCTTCTGGACAGTTTGGCGTGAGGAGAACGGCTTTTCTCTGCTGAAAGGTGCTATTTGTCAAACAAGTGCCTTTCTGAACTGTTTCTTTATCTCTTCTGCCACATTTTGACAACCTTTTATAAATGGGCCACAGCTGGAATGTATTTTGTTGACCGTTTAATGCGATATTGGTTTGCAATTTTTTATTTTTTCAGAGGGGCAAAAAATTATAATTATAAGCCTTTTAAATTTGTGAAATCCATTACAGGGAACGTCACATTATGGATGCATGATACTGCAGTTCTGTTGGTGTGTTTCCCACCAGAAGGCATCGTGTAATAAATGCAGTGAATCAGTTTCCTTCATTAATTTTGTTTCTTGGCACAGTCACCTAATGCCACTCAGAGATGGGGAAACTCGGCACAACTGTAGACTGTGTCAGCAACATGCTAATACACAAATGATTAGTACCCCTATGAAATTTAAAGTTTTTGTCCAAATCTTCCCAAGACAGCATACTAAGTTTCTGTAGAGATCAAATTATTTCAGAAAAAAGACCAGAGTCATTATTAGAAACTGAAAAACTGTCTTTTTGTTTTTTTGTTTTTTTTAGCTGTAGCATATTTATTTTTAATGTTCATAGCTTGTAAAATCTAAAACGGAGGACAACCTTACAATTTACAAACCGTGAAAACTCTTTAGCTGTCACTGGAGAAAGCATCACACTAAAAAAAACCCATCTGTTTAGAGTAGAGAATAATGGTTTTCAATCACAAAAACAGGAGATAGATATACAAATTTAAAATAGTGTTTCAAGTGTCAAGAACTGGAGTAAGAAGTATCATCAAGAAATTTAAAACTGCTATTCACTTCTCAGTTCAATAATAGTTTTAAAAGGGAAATTTTCACAGGGGGACTAATTGTTGAATAATTATTAATAATTCTAAATGATAAGCATTTGTGTTACCCTTTAACACAATCCTAACGTCACAGACGGACATGTCTTGTAACTTTTGCTGCTCTTGTTAATAACATTACCGACATTGTTAGCCTTATTAATATTAGCCATAGCTAATAATAGCTACCCTTATAATAGCAGATTGGCTAATGTGGCTAACGGGTAACTGCTAATAGTCAAGCTAACTTTGGTGTGCACTTGCTAGCTCAAAATGTAGAAAGTGTAAGTAGGTGTTATTGAAACTGAAAATTCTCAGTGTTCGAAGTTTAGGAAAACTAAAATTGCAAGTGGCAGCCTTACTTGGACAAGAAGAATCTACGCTCTTGCTAACTTATGTCTGCTACATGTCAGTAAAGGAAAGCAATGGCTGCCTGGAACAGTAGGTAAAATTAATCTAAATGCAACTGTGTTACTTAAAATGCTGAGCTTAAAAAAAAAAATCCTGTTAATTTTCGTTTGGATCAAAGAATCCACGTAATTACATTTTTGTAATCCCTCCCTCAGTTTCCTGCGGCTCCTTCTAAACGGTACCTATGACTACATACGTCACAAGATCCTGTACGTGTTCCTCAACCACTTTCCGGATGGGGGTCGGCAGGATGGCTGGATCGCCGATGACTACCTGCGTACCTTCCTGACGCGCAATGGCATGTCCAGGGTGGTCGGTGCGCGATCAGACGATGTTTTCGTCATCAACGATGCCGACGAAATCCCAGCACACGAAGGACTACTTTTCCTCAAGCTGTTCGACGGGTGGACAGAGCCTTTCGCCATCCACATGCGCAAGGTAACAGAAGTATCTCAGCTTTCGTGTGTTTTCTACAAGCAGCCAGTTTGTTACGTGAAATTAAGATCTTTTTCACCATGTAAGATTAAGGGAAGAATAAATGTGGTAACAGTATCTCATTCTTCTTGCAATTCTCCTGTACTCTTTTCTCTGTGTGTGCAGTCGTTGTATGGCTTTTTCTGGAAGCAGTTCGGGTCTCTGGAGGTGGTGTCGGGCTGCACGTTGAGGATGCTGCACGACGTGTACGATGGCGACGGCATCAAACTGCGTCGTCGCGAATATTACACTATGCCGGGTTTCCGCAAATACGAGAATGACACCGGCCACATCCTGGTGCAGTGGTCGGTGGGAAGCCCGTTCCACTTCGCAGGGTGGCACTGCTCCTGGTGCTTCACACCCGAGGGGATCTACTTTAAGCTGGTGTCGGCGCAGAACGGAGACTTCCCGCGGTGGGGCGACTACGAGGACAAACGCGACCTCAACTACATCCGCGATCTCATCCGGACTGGCGGCTGGTTTGACGGCTCGCTGCAGGAGTATCCCCCAGTGGACCCCAAAGAGCACATGTACGCCCCCAAGTACATGCTGGAGAACTACGACAGGTATCGCTACCTCTTGGAAAACCCTTACAGAAAAGAGTCCAGAGCGAATGAAGGCTAGGTGTCAGGTGGCCAAAAAAATTTAAATGAAAAACATATGTGAAAAAAAAAAAACAAAACGCTCGTAGGGCCCAAGTGATTTTGGGGGGTGGAACGATACTGATGAACTGCTTCTCTCATTGGAGTGAAACTAAATGTATCTCCACCAGGCAGCACTGATGCTGCTCTTTAAAGTCATTACATTGGGGTCAGAAAAAAGGGAACACTGAATCACATCCATGGATTTTGAGAGGGAGCTTTGAGATGAGAGGATAATAACCACTGAATCTTAGATTTCCTCATTCCTCCCCTTTTCCGGGAGGCCCCGCGCTATCTCTCTATTTGTCACCCGTCCTTCCTTTTGTCACCCACCGATTCGACGCGCCTGTTCTCTGAGAGAAAATGGCAGCAAGAAAAAGCCAGGGGTCTATCGCCGGCAGGCCCCTCCATGGATCTGACAAACTCTGAAGGGAAGGACCGTTTTGGTTTTGTCTGTGTTTACTGAAGTTTACAGATTGACCGATGTTCCCACTTCACTCTCCACCTCCAGATGTCTTCCTGTCATATTTGGTGACCTCCTTCCAGACATAAACTCCTGCTCAGATACTTTCATTGCTCCCGAGTGTCGGTAGGACATTACAGAAACACCCCCCCCCCCCCCCCCCCCCTCTCACTGGAGCACCGACAGCCAAATGAAAGGGAATGACTCAGTAGAGATGTTTCAGCTCATACATATGCTCACGTTCATCTACATGCGCCTTAGAGTTGTCTGTGTGTGCTTGAAAAAGGAAGCGCGGGATTGGGGGTGGGCTATATGGGGTTTTTATTTGTATCATATTTTGAGAAAATGGAAAGGAAGAAAGAAACTGATGGGAACAGGAAAGGAGGATGAAACTGGGATGAGAACCTGAGAGAGAAGGCAGGAGAGAGTGTGAGGGGAGTATAATGAGTGAGGAGAGAGTGTGTGTGTGTGTGTGTGTGTGTGTGTGTGTGTGTGTGAGCGAGCAAGAGAGTGCGTTTCCCAGAGCTTACAGGCAGCTCTGAATAAATCATGCCCCGTCTATGGCATCTACGGCAGTTACTGCCATTATTGTTCGTCCAGTCCGATAGCAGCTGGAAGAATATCACCCTTCAGTTTTTCATCTCTCTCTCTCCCTCTCTTTCTCTCTCCATCTAGCGCCTCAGATAACTTTGTTTCCTTGGAAACTATGTGGAAAAGAGGAAATGGGGATGGGTGTTGTTAAGACGAGTGGGTGGGTTCATATCAGGCAAGGAGCTGCAGCATTCGGATGAGGTCGACCCCGACGTTGAGTCCCTTCGGTTAGATACTCAGCTTTCTGCTCAGCTGCCAATCACAGATCGTCTTTTTCTTTCACTTATCCTGATTTTTTTTTTTTCCTCCCCCTCCTCAAGTCTGTGTTTTCAGCTTTCTCTATTTTGCAAAATCTCCCAAGTCATCCTCCAACACACACACACGCACGCACGCGCACACACACACACACACACACACACACTGTGGATCCTATCTATTCTGTGTGTTTTCTGTTATCCTCACAGGAATGCACCATTTCAATAACAGGGGTCTGTTTATCTTCTCTCTGCCTCGTTTCTTTCCCTTTGTTTTGGGGCAGCAGTTGCCATGGCGATGCCTTTTCTGATGCCCTACAGATGATTATCATCATAAACATTTAGGCAGGAGCGCTCATGCCTCTTGCCTTCTTTCTGTCGTAAACAGCTGTCGATGTGGAATGGATGCCTAGATCACCCCCACCCCAACACACACAGACACAGACACCCACCCATCCGCCCAAGTTGTCTGGCAGAAGTTGATGATGATGTAGAGCCTTGGTATGAGTACATGGGTAGCCCAGTGGGACAAGGATTAGTTCTTGTTGAGGCCGTGGAAGTCGTAGCTGGAATATTTACCGTGCTGCGGAGCAGTTAAAGATGTGCGCTGGGCAGACGAGCAGCGATCAAGAAATTATGAGCACATTGATTTTTGTTTTAACTGCAGATTGACCATATCCACCATCTACTCTTCAAACCTGTCTGGGCTTTACTTTAGCTTCTGGCTTCTTTCGAGGTTAAGACCTCTAGAGGTATAAAAACCACTTTTCTTGTAGTAAACACCGCCTGTCGCTGACGCCGCCTGAGATCATATCAAACATTATTTTGTAGCTTTAATTTCATCAGACGCTGACACAGCCATGCATCGAATGCCTCAAATGCTTTTTGTCCCCATTATTTTCACCTCCAAACTCCTCAATCATTAAAACGCTGCTCTTCCCTTACAGTTCCAATGCCATTAATATGTTTTTGGGGACTTATTTCCATAAATTGGTTCCCTTCTCAGAGCTGGGAGACCACTTGGTGGGGAAAATTAGATTAGCCAGCAGGCCGCCGACAGTTGTCAGGGCCCGTGTCGCTGCCTCGATGGCAGCGCGGTCTGTGCCGGCATCTGTTAGGGTTTTGGTTTTGATGCTGGGAGCCAAATCCTGATCCAAACCCAGAGGGGCTGCGGCGAGAAAAAGAGCTTTAAGCAGGATTTGATGGGAGAGGAAGCGACGATAATGCGAGATTCAACGCCCTTTGTCTCAAAATGAGATTTATTTATTTTTATTTATTTTTTAAATAGAACGTGGGTAACATACTCATAGTACGACTCTAGGTCAAGTAATGAATGAGGTGTCACATTTTTGTACTAAAGCTCTCATTTTCTTCAGTCTTCTTGCAAAAAGCACTGACTGATGTTTTCATTTGAGACTAGATCTGACTAAAGTTTCTAATGTGACTCACTTTAAACAAACAAAACCTGCCAGCCTCTGATTTCAGGGCCTCAGACTGCACTCATAGGAAGACTCACTGCTGCAATCACTTTGCACATCTTGCATATCTGCGTGTCGGCTGACAGATAAGGATGTGTGGACTGCTGAAAGACGAGTCAGGTTTACCTCGCTTGGCCTGTTGAACTGTCATCACTTAGGTCGCCACGACACGCTCCTGAGATCTACAACAGGCTGAGGTCACCGGCCAAGATGGCCGGCCGGCCAGTGTAATAACAGGTGAGGGAATGCGCATGCAGTTTTCCCCTTAATTCCTCATGCAGAACCAGACGTGAGTAAGAAAGAAAAATGCAGAGCCTCTCATCACTCAATCCTTATCACTAAATGTCACAGTGCTGCAGAGCTGGGCACAGTGTCACACACACACACACACACTCACCATTACCCAGCACACACCCGTGGGTTTTCTTTTATATCTTTTGTGTTTTCCCTGGTTCATCAAAGTTTGCCAGTTTGCATGAGAGGCAGAAATGTCCCTAAATTAATCAGTTTGTGTTTTTTGTAAGTACAAGCCAGAGAAGAACCAAGAAGGGAAACGTATTTCAGACTGAGCAGAAACAGGAAAATATAAAAAAGACAAAGAAACGAAGAAGCAGCAGCAGTGGGTTTTTCCCAGTATACAAAGTCGAAGCTTGATGAATGGAGACTGGAATCCAGAAAGAGACATTTTGGAAATAATCCTTCCGCTGCTGTTCCCAGTGACGGACTCATTGAATGAGTGCGGAGGAGGGAGGTAATACGCTTGACGGAACAGCTTCGGTTTTTCCACTTTGATGAGGGAGAGGGAGTCATCATGGCGATGAAATAAAAACCATTCCAAATGAAGGGAGCGCCTCATCCTCCCTGTAAAAAGACAAATCTATAAAGCAGTGACAGTTTAAGTGAAGATGAGGCTGACTGGCTCGTGTGTTGTCCACGCTGCCTCCCGGGACTTGCGGTGATTTTTAAAGAGGCTGGCAGGAGTGCCAAATAGGGGTGTCTTTCTTGCTCAAGGACACTTGATTGTGACCACTCAGCAGGCATTAAAGCACTGAGGCACTTATGTTTTTGGACAGCTCTGGCCTGTTGCTTTCTCTTGGGTTTTTTTAGACACCGTCAAACGTAAAGCCTTTAAAGCAGTAACAGCGGCTGTAGTTGAAGTGCAGACTCGTATAAAAGAACGGGCACAGCCATTGTGGCCTCAGCCTTTGACGTAGTGTGCTTTTGAAGCCATCTTTTTAGACATAGTTGTTACTTGGTTAGTTAAATAACTGCACAGCAAGCTTATTTCTCTGGAAATGACATTTAAAAATGTTCCCACAGAAACCTCCAATATAAATACAGTGGAGGTCCAGTTCACTGGCTTGGATTAGATGAGATGAAGCCCAGTCAGCACTCACCTTTCCACTCAAAGCAGCCACACTTAAAAGCCTTAATGATAAATTTATGTGTCACACTTGTTTATTTCGGCTCTAAAGTTTTTAACCCTCAACCCCTCCCTCAGTTTTTCTTTTTTTTTCCTTTTCTATAAATGAGAGAACTGGATCCTTGCCATTTGTTTTTTCTTTTCCATTGTTGTTAGCTTGGTTTTTGGCCCACAGGCTGCCCTTTTCCTGCCTTGGATGTTGTGCGCTTACGTTATTATTTTTGGAATAGCCGATCTATAACTCCCAATCTCGCCTGACCTTAAGAATGTGAACATTTTCAATATCTGTGACGGGCGTTTTACCAAAGATAAAAAGTTTGAATTTCACTCTGATCAGGTTTTTGTTTTTTGGCAGTCTGACAACAAATAACCTGCAGTAACACCGCAGCACTGTCCAGTCCGCTTTGGGGTTATTAGTAGGAAAGAGCTCGGTGTCATCTCTTTTTTTTGCTTTCAGTTATTGATATTAATGACAGGAAATAACCACTGAGAAAAACTCTGTTTTGAACTGGAGAAGTCTGAACATTGGCTGTAAGTGCTGTCAGGGATGTTTGCTGAGGGTGTGTGTGTGTGTGTGTGTGCTCTGCACTTCCACCGCTTCCTTTCCCGTACACACGACTGCTGTTGGAGGTGTTGAGATAGCCTCCAAGCTTACAGATCCTACATTTCCCATAACGCACCTCTGTGACTTCTTTTTGCTTCCATGTTAAATATTCATGTCTTTCACATTCAGTGCTGCCAGTTTACACCACAACCTTGTTAAAAGACATCTCCAAGGCCCGGGTTAAGAGAGGTGATGATCCTGTTACCGTGACATCGCCAGAGTAAACGTGTCGGCTCCGCCCTCTTTTCAGTGCATGTATGCTAATCATCCACATATGTTTTGTAGCATTTGGCTTTCGTGTGTATCGTGCACAGATGTGTTTCTGCACCACCCACACCCATCTGCTGTTGTGCTCACAGAGTAGCCGACCGACTGCCCGAACGGGCTAACATGCCATCATGGCTCTGGCCCCCCGCCAGGCCCGTGGCCCCCACCGATTGATGTTTTCCGAGAAACATTAGCAGGAAGTAGGCCAGAAAGAGAGGAGGGGTAAGTGGGGAAAGTAGTGCTCCTTTTAGAGAGGTCTTTTTTTTTTTTAAGTCAAACTTTATTCATGTCTCATTAATGCCTCCTACACAAATCTGGGAAGCATGGATGGAATGTATGGAAACACGTGTGCTCTGTAGAGAGAGGAACATGCCTGCCATCGAGCTGCTGTCGTCTCGGCTGTAAACACATAATTATTCTCCCCATGTAATAGACAGAAGCGTTCACATTCCACAAACTGAGCAATCGGATTCACTCTGGCAGCTGCACTTCGATGTGTCGCTAATTGGAAAGAACTCTGTGTTAAACCACAAGCGCTACA